CAGAGGTGGGGGCCTTGGTGGAGAGGGGAGGGCAGCACTGCTGAGGCTCCAGGAAGGACTGTCTTTTGTAGGGACAGAAGGAGGCCACCTCATGTGACCCTCGGTTTGGTGACTATCAAGTGGCCTGAGGCATGGCTGGGGAGCAGGCCTGGTAGACCCCATAGAAGCCTTGGCAGCTCCAATATGGCCACTTCCAGAGCAGAGATTCCTGGTGGAAGGCAGGGCAGAGAGGGAGGGAAAGCCTAGAACTTCAGGCTCGGCTGCATCAAGGCCAGGAAGTGCTTCTTGCCAGCCAGGTGGCAGAGGACACTGCTGCTGCAGTGACAATGCATGAACACACCCATGCCAGACTGTCTTCAAGAGCTTCCTCTGCAAACACTCGATCAGCTCCTCAAACATTTCCTCAACTGAGGATCTCACCCCCACTTCCGTTCTGTGGGGGAACATAAGCAAACCGAGTTTCAAACAAAAATGAAAACTGTTCACAGCCAGGCCTGATGGCGCACACCAATGAAAACTGTTCACAGCCAGGCCTGATGGCGCACACCTTTGATCCCAGCACTTGGGAGCCTGAGGCAGGCGGATCTCTGTGAGTTCGAGGCCAGTGTGGGTGCTGGAAATGCACCCCAAGTCCTCTGCAAGAATAGTGAGTGTTCTCGACACTGGACTGTCTCTGCAGCCCTGCTTCATAATGATAAATATGTTCCCAGCCACGCTGTACAGGCTCTCCTTTCCCCAGACTGGTGATCTTCTAGGTTTTGCTCACATTGATGACTTCTGATGGAGTAGAGCCAGCTGTGATAGGCCGGGGCCACCACAGCATGAGTGTCATGGGGCCAGCTTTGAGCCCCTATGCTTCTTTACTTATCTGTCACTACTTAGAAGGTGGAAATTGGAGCTGGAGAGATGGCTCATCGGTTAAGGGCACTGGCTACTCTTCTAGAGGCCCCAGGTTCAATTCCCAGCACCCACACGGCAGTTCACAACTGTCTTGTAACTCCAAGAACTGACATCCTCACACAGACACACGTGCAGGCCAAACACCAATGCAAATAAAAATTTTTAAAAAGTGGGAAATTGATAAAATGTGTTTTTGTTTGTTTTTCAGGCATGTTTGTGTATCACAGGCATGCCTGACACTCATAGAGACCAGAAGAGGGCATCAGATCCCTTGGGATTGGAGTTACTGACAGTTGTGAGCTAACACGTGGTTGCTGGGAATTGAACTCAGGTCCTTTGGAAGAGCAGCCGGTGCTCTTAACCTCTGAGCCATCTCTCCAGCCCAGTATTTGTCATTTTTATTTATTATTATTTTTATTTATTTATTAATATTATTATTGTTTATTATTTTATTTTGAGTCAGGGTCTCTGCAATGCCCAGGTTGTCTTTGCGCTCCTCCTGCCCCAGCCTCCTGAGTATCTAAGATTTTGTGTCTGTGTCCCATACCAGACTGTGCTGTCAGTCTGCAGTTGACTGTGCAAGGCTGAGAATTACCAGCGATGACAAAGCAGCCCATATTAGCCCAGGCCCAGCTTCTCCCCATCTAATGTCTCTGGCCTGGACCTATGGCCCATGATTGAACCACGTGTCTGTTTGGAGCCTCACTGGTACCCTTTGGTAAACCCTGGTACTCCTCAGAGTGATCTCTAGAGGCAAAATATTAAACAGACTTACAAAAAATGCCAACTGGATACAGTTGACCACCTTTTAAAATTGTCACCTTCTGTTTGTGGTCCCCTGAGTAGCCCCAGTAGAAGTGGCTGTTTTCAAAGTAGCTGTAAGCACCTGAAATCTTCAATATGTATGTCATATGAGAGCATTTGTCATTTCATTGTTTTGTGGGGCACATGCGGTCCTAGAGATATAAACTAGGACTTTTTGTAATCTTTCTACCACTGAGCCACACCCCCAGCCCCTCACTGGGGCATTCTAGGCAGGGGCTCTACCACTGAGCCACGCCCCCAGCCCCTCACTGGAGGATTCAAGGCAGGGGCTCTAGCTTCGAACTATATACTCAGTTTATTTGTTTACTCATTTTTAAAAGATTTATAATGTTCTGCCAGCATATATCCCTTCAGGCCAGAAGAGGGCACCAGATCTCATAACAGATGGTTGTGAGCCACCATGTGGTTGCTGGGAATTGAACTCAGGACCTCTGGAAGAGCAGCCATCTCTCCAGCCCCCATTTGAGAGGGAGCAAATCTGGGCAGACAGAAAGGTGTATGTTAACCTGCCGTACAAGGCTGGGCTGTGGAGCTGCTGGGCTTCATCTGTATCCTGTCATGAATGTGACAGCCATGGCCCATTACATGAGGCCTCCCAGGCAAGGCCTGTTTTCTTTTTTGTGCTCTAGGAGTGGCCCTGTTGACTGAGGGGCATGGTTAGCCACGAGCTGTGTTTCAGGAGAGAAGAATCAGAGATGGGAGAGTTCAAATCCAGCTGTACCTTGTATCAGCTGTGTGCTTTGTCTCCTCATGGAGTTGAAGCATTCATTCTTCCATAAAATTAAAGTCAGCAGAAGGCTGACACATGCATGTAATCCCAGCATTCAAGAGGCTGAGGAGGCAACAGGGATCCTGATGAGAGTGTCTCAAAGAATCTTACCATATTTGTAGCCAGGCATGGTGGTGCACGCCTTTATTCTCTATACTCAGAAGGCAAAGGCAGATGATCTCTGTGAGTTTGAGGCCAACTTGATGTCCAGGACAGTCAGGACTATACAGAGAAACCTTGTCTCAAAACACCCCCCCCACACACACACACACAGGGTTTCTCTGTTAGCTCTGGCTGTCTTGGAACTCACTATGTAAAGCAAGCTGGTCTAGAACTCACAGAGATCAGCCTGCCTCTGCCCCCACCCCAAGTGCTGGAATTAGGCAGGTGGTGGCACACATCTTTGACTAAAACAAACCTTTTAATGCATTATTTATATATATATTGTTTTGGTGGGTGTCACTTGTACCAGGCACACGTGTGAAAGTTGGAAGACAACTTGGGGAGACATGGTTCTCTCCTTCCACCACATGGGTCCAGGATCCAACTCAGGTTGTTGAGCTGGATGTCAAACCAACCCCGATGTGGGATAGTTTGAGTAAGAGCGTTTTAGTGAGGGATGACCTAGATCAAGCGGGGCTGTCTGGAGGTTTTCTTGATGGTCACTCTGAGTGTGGACATGGCTTCACGGGCTGAGCCCTGAGATGTGTTGTAAGGTGGGGGAAAGCAGCTCACCTCTCTCAGCCCTGACTGCGGGTGTGGCGTGGGCCGTAGTCTGGAGCTCCTGCCTGAGTGACTTTGTGCAGTGAGGGACTGGCGAGGGACTGTAACCTTCCAGATGACTCCCCCCCCCCCCCCAGTGCTTTTTGTCAGGGTGTTTGTCACAAAGATGAAACTAGAGCACCCACTGAGCCAAATGCCTGCCCTAAGCCTGGCGTGTGCTGGCTTTGCTGGGGGGCCTGGTGGCAGCATGCCCTGCTAGTGCTCCCTGGGTGGTGGGTGGGGAGGGAACTTGTAAGCCACATTCTTGAGCTGTGTGTGCTGTGTGGCTGCCTGACAGCCCAGCACTTTGTAGAGGGCAGTGCTAGCTTTGCCAGTGATGCGATACGCATGACCCCAGCGCCATCATGCTGCTGTTGGGCCTGAGGAAGGCAGCAGACGAGGGCTGGGGAGTCTGAGCCTGCTCCTTTGCCCGCAGCCCAAAACGTGACCGTGGATGAAGTGATCAGTGCCTACAGGCAGGCCTGCCAGAAGCTGAACTGCCGACAGATCCCCAAGCTCCTCAGGCAGCTGCAGGTATGAGGGATGGGGACACTCACCGAGTGCCTGGGCGTGCGTGGGGGTGGGCAGGCAGCACAGCCCTGGGGCCTGCCCAGCCAGCTTGCCCCCAGCCAGGGCCTGTGTAAGGACAGCTGCAGAAATCCTTAGTTCAGCTGTGAAATTAGTGACAATCCAGAATCACATAAAGTGATAGCTACTGACTGTCAGCCCCAGAAAAATTCTGTCCTCAGAGAAAAGTCATCTTGCCAGTCCTTTCAAGTCTGAACTCTGAAATTCAGTATTATAGTGTGAATTTTAAGGCAAGCCTCAGCCTGGACTCTGTACTCAGGCCAACTCAAAAAACAAGAAGAAAGCAGCAAAACCCAAGTCTGGACTTGAAATGTGGTATATGCCCCCTGCTGTTTAGGAAGTTAACAGGAACCAGCCCTGGCTTCATCCCAGCACTTAGAGGGTAGAGGCAGGTGGACAGAGTTCAAGGTCATCCTCGGCTACATAATGAGTTTGAAGCTAGCCTGGGCTATATGAGACCCTGTCCCCAAAACTGAAAACAAGCTGGTAAGATGGCTCAGTGGCAAAGGCATTTGCCGGCAAGCCTGACAACCTGAGTTTGATGAGCTGGTCCCACGTGGTGGACAGACGTAGAGGACTAAGTTTTTCACAAGTGCACTATAGGTGGAGTTTTCCTGTCCCTACTGTCTGTTGGGGGGGGGGGGACAGTAGCCCCCCCCCAATATAATTTGTAAATGCTGGGCCAATAGCTCAGGCTTGTTACTACCTAACTCTTACATTTAAATTAACCCATATTTCTTATTTATGCTTTGGCATGTGGCTTATGGTCTGTTACCTTCCTTGGTGGCTGGCTGGTGTCTCCTCTGACTCCGCTGTTGTTCTTCCCATCATCCTCCCAAGTTTAATTGTCCTGCCTATTACTCCTGCCTGGCTAACAGCCAATCAGCTTTTTATTGACAATGAAAGCAGCACATACTTACAGTGTACAAAAGGATTATTCCACAGCAGTGTACAGTGTGTGTGCATGGGACGCTGACACACGTGGGAAAAAAGTTTAAATATGGACATGGAAAAACAAAAGATTTGTCATTTCTTTCCTTTCCCCCAAATCCCAGGAGGCCCCTATCCTCAGTCTGTTGGAGAATTTGTAGAAGGAATTGCTAGCTCAGAAGTGCCGCGACCAAGTGCTGTCTGAGTTAGTGTGAATGTGGGCAGACTCTGCCTGTAGTCTCCCCTCTGTGGTCAGTCCTGGGTCCCATCTCTACACAGGGCCCTTGCAAGGGGTGTCTGGGTCATAGTTCTCTCTGTGTTCCAGGGCTGTGTCTATTCTGCAGAGTTAGCAGAGCAGGGCCTCCCCTTCCAGGGAAAGCCACTCAGTGTGGCTTCTGAGGCAAGGATGAGGACTGACTAGACCTTTGCACCTTATCAGTCAATATGTTGTCAAGCCAGCCTTAGCCTGTCTGTCCTGGGGCTTTGTCACAGTGCTCAGCCCTTGTTGGAGGCTGGCACCCAGAGACTCACCTGGCATGTGTGTAGGTTAAGTGGGCCCCACAGGAAGGGGCTGTGAGAAACACCTGAGCTAGCCCTTTACATCTTTGCTGAGTGCTGTGGCTGACTGTCAGCCCGCCCACATCACCCACGTCAGTCCCTCCGGACAGACGTCCCCAACCCTGGACATGTCTCCAGAGACGCTGGATGCCTGAGTGGCGGGGCTGTGGCTCCCTGCTGGGCAGAGTCATCTCATGCCCTGTGTGCTCAGATGTCATGTCACTGCAGGGCATGGCCCCGCTGGCAGGCCACCCCAGTTGCTGGAGTGTCTTACCTGCTTTGAGCAGCCCTACCCTGCTTTCTTAGGAGTTCACGGACCTCCAGGAGCGCATCAACTGCCTGGACCTGAAAGGTGTGTGTACCCAGGGATAGCAGGGTGTCCAAGGGTTTGGTGTGGACTCTCCACATAAAGGTGCCCGCCCCTTCCCAGGGGAGAAGCTTGACTACAAGACCTGTGAGGCTCTGGAGGAGGTCTTTAAGAGGCTGCAGTTCAAGGTTGTGGACCTGGAGCAGACCAACTTGGATGAAGACGTAAGAATCTTGCTGCCACCAGGCTCCTGGGCCTCATGAGGCTTGGGCAGGGAGAAGGCAAGGGCAGGGCGTCATGAAGACCAGAAGGGGGTACCTGATGTGACCAGGGTGGGCCTAAGGCCTGAAGGTGAGGCCTGGGGAGCTGGTGAGGGGCGAGTGTGGCTACCAGGAGCTTTCCTGGCTGTCATGCTGCAGGACTGAGAGGTTCCTCGGACAGTTGCAGCCTCAGTGGGCTGAGTGTTCCTAAGTGTAGGTTGTAGAAGCGCCCCCCCCGCTGGGTCACCCAGGGCATACCTGTCATTCTGAGGCTCTTGCCTGCCCAGCACCCCTCCTGTGGCACAGCCCATGTGTTTCCCTTGGCCATCTGACCTGAGGCCAGCCCACGTGTGCCTGTCCCCAGGGTGCCTCAGCCCTATTTGACATGATTGAGTACTACGAGTCGGC